GGCCTTTGCCACAACGGACTGTTTCAGGGATGGTGATGATGTGATGGTCCGAGGCAGGTAGAGATCAAACACCTCTGCTTGGTGTATCCCAGATCACCAGTGCTGAGCCTTCACCACAGCATGGTGTGGGAACCCACCGCAGTTGTGAATGATCCCTATGCCTTTTCCCTCTGTGGCGTTGTGCTGCCTTTACAGACACAGACCAGAACACTGACCACTCACACCTGGGTGCAGTGCTTTTTTCCTTTTAGAACCTTTGGCATGTAAACTGTAAACTTGTGTAGGGTGGTGTGCATAATTCTGGGCTGGGTGCAAAGGATCTTGTGTGCCTAGTGCAATTTTGGTACTGAGTGCAGACACTCAAGATGGGAAAAGTTTAACTGACTTTCCAGAAACTCCATTAAACAGTCTGATTACACCTCCTCTGGATTCTTTGCCTTGCTCGTGGCTGATCGAAACCACGTTGTTGCTGTCTCCCATACGAATAGTCGTGGTGTCTCTGGTAAGGCATGTACTGTTTGTGCCGTTATGGAGGTGTGTACATACCGAGGGTATAGAGAGTGGTGCATGAATCCTTGCTCAAATGAAGGACCTCATCCATCTTTTCAGCAAAGAGCTTCTGTTTATTAAATGGGAGATCCTCAACTTTGCTCTGCAGTTCCCTTGGAATTCCAGCCATTTTTAGCCATGAATCTCTTCACATCACTATTACAGTAACCATTGAATGGGCAGCTGTTTCTGCTATGTCTAACACAATCTGGAGACCTATCCTAGTGGAAGCGTAGCCTTCTTGGACAATGGACTTCAAGATTTGAGTCCGGTAAATGCTCCATGAGTGTTGTGACCTTTCTACAACTGTCGAAGTTGTGGTTCAACAGGAGTGCAGCGTAGTTGGCCACCAGCAGGAGGTCCCGTTATACCCTGTTTTCCCTCCAGCCCACCAGCAAGAGCCAGGTCTAAGCCTCGCCAAGCCCAGTTTTCCTCTCAGCCCACCAGGAGGGGCCAGGCCCAGCTGTTCCCCCCAGCCCGCTGGGAGGAGCCAGACCAAGCCGCACTGGGTTTGGTTATCCCCCCAGCCCGCCAGGAGGGACTGTGCCTAGCTTTCCCTCAGCCCACTGGGAAGGGCCAGAGCCGAGCCAAGCCCGGTTTTCCTGTTGGCCTGCCAGGAGGAGCTGGGCCCAAGACACACCAGGGCCTGTTTTCCCCCAGCCGCTGGGAAGGGAAGTGGGAGGAGAGCCCAGCTGTAAGAGCCCCACTCCTTCACGTGGGCCCTAGGAAGGACCAGGCTGGGGGTGAATGAGGCTTGATCCTGGGGACATCGAGTGACATGACATCACTCTGTCATTCTGCTGGAAAAACTTTTTTTTATAGAGAGAGAGATAAATTAGGAAAATTAAAACCAATACAAGGAAATATCTTTCATATGATGTGCAATCAAACTCATTGCCAGAGGAAATTGTTGAGGCCAATAATAAATCAAAATTGGGTGCCTGGTTAATTATATGGATAATAAAACTCAGAGTTATTGCAAATGGTAAAAGTACTGTAAGTCACATTAAATCTTATGCTTCCAGTTTAATCCAATCTCTAAACCAGTGGTACACAAACTTTTCCAGTCAGACCTCCCCTTTACCATTAAGACAGTGGTTCTCAAATAGTGGGTCAGGACTCCAAAATGGATTGCAACACCATTTCAATGCTGTTGCCATGGCTTGAGTTAGAATTGCTGGGAACTGTGGATGAAACACAAGCCCCACTGCCCAAGGCCAAAGCTAAAGCCCTGAAAATATTTGAAGATTAAATGTAATGTGCTACTTCTAATGGGTTCAAATAACTTGCACCCTTGTGGCATTCGGTGCTAGTTTATGACTGAAACTAGATTGCTCAGATTCTTAACTCAAAATACATTTTGTTTTTCTTCATTTAAAGCACTGTTCTGGGGTGGGGCTGGGGATGACAGGTTGAATATTTAGGCTGCCCCAAGCAGAGAGGACAACCCCAGCCCTCCCTTAACCACAACAGCTTGGGGCTCAGTGAGAAGCATCTGTCTGTCCACGGCCACTGCAGCTCCAGCAGGCACAGCTAGAGAAGGGGTGCATACAGAGGCATAACGAAGAGGAATGCAGGGGACAGTTGTCCCCGGACGCCATGCTAGGGGGGCACCGGGCTGGGGTGGGAGTGAAGTGCACTCTGCTCTGGCCCATGTGACGCTTTTGAACAGAGACCTGGGAGCAGGCTATGTGCTCCCGGCTCTACACACTGAGAGCAGGGGCAGCAGGAGCGGCCACTTTAAAGGTTAGATTTCCTTACCCAGCCATCCCTTCCTCCAGTGCCTGGCTCTGTGGGGGAGAGGGGGAGGTTTGATGGGGGGGGGTTCCCAGAGCCAGGGGGGCCTGGTTCAGGGGGAGGAGTAAGTGTATTGGGATGGGAGGCTCGGGGGGGGGGGGAGGTGCTGAGGTGCCTGGCTCTGGGGAAGGGGTGAGTGCATTGGGATGGAGGGCGGGGGGGGAGCTGGCTCAGGGGAAGGGGTGAGTGCATTGGGATGGAGGGCGGGGGGGGAGCTGGCTCAGGGGAAGGGGTGAGTGCATTGGGATGGAGGGCGGGGGGGGAGCTGGCTCAGGGGAAGGGGTGAGTGCATTGGGATGGAGGGCGGGGGGGGAGCTGGCTCAGGGGAAGGGGTGAGTGCATTGGGATGGGGGGCACTGGGGAGAGCCTGGGTCACATGGAGGGGTGAGTGCATTGGGATGGGAGGTCAGGGGGGCTGGCTCTGGGGGACAGGGAGTGCATTGGGATGGGGGAACGCTGGGGAGGGACTGGCTCTGGGGAAGAGGTGGGTGCATTGGGGTTACTTATAATTTTTTTTAAATAAAAGATATTCTATAACAAAAGGAAAAACTTAGAAAACAATAGTCTGATAACATTTTAAAGACTAACAAACATATAGGTCAGGCATGTCAAACTTTGAAATCCACTAAGGGCCACACAAATGAAAACTGATACCAAAGAAAATGTACTTTTATCAGAAAGTTATAATTATTTATTATTATAGATTATGTTTTGGGTATATTTTATAATATTTTTTCAGGTCTTGTTTTAACATAACAATTTTACACATCAAATTATTGTATCTGTTCATAAAATAATTTTAATTTCAATATAAATGTAAGGAACTTTTAATTTGTTTATATGATACATAACTTTTGTTGAAATAAAAACAAATATAGATCATGGTCAATCAAATAGAAAAGGCTTCTGTGAAAAATTCAGATACTTTGTAAGTTTGAGATTTTGCATAAACATATAATTAATTAAAATATCATCAATTCACAGACACTTACCTTCCTTCCTCCCCTCCCCCCCCCCCCCCCCCCCCCCCCGCTCTCCCACTGAAGTGGGTCTGGCCCACGAAAGCTCATCATCTAATAAACCATCTTGTTAGTCTTTAAAGTGCTACATTGTCCTGCATTTTGCTTCATAAAACAGGTTTTCCATTCCTTGGATCATCGTAGTGACCCTTCTTTATACCTGTTCCAGCTTGAATTCATGCTTCTTAAACATGGGAGACCAGAACTGCACACAGTATTCCAAATGAGGTCTCACCAATGCCTTGTATAACGGCACTAACACCTCCTTATCCCTACTGGAAATACCTCGCCTAATGCATCCCAAGACCATATTAGCCTTTTTCACAGCCATGTCACAATGGTGGCTCATAGTCATTCTGTGATCAACCAGGACTCCAAGGTCATTCTCCTCTTCTGTTACTTCCAACTGATGTGTCCCCAGCTTGTAACTAAAATTCTTGTTATTACAGTAATCCCTAAATGTATAACCTTACACTTCTCACTATTAAATTTCATCCTATTGCTATTACTCCAATTTACAAGATCTTCCAGATCTTCCTGTATGATTTCCCGATCTTTTTCTGAATTGGCAATACCTCCCAACTTTGTGTCATCCACAAACTTTATTTGTACACTCCCACTTTTAGTGCCGAGATCAGTAACAAAAGATTAAATAATAATGGTCCCAGAACTGATCCCTGGGAAACTCCACTAGTAACCTCTTTCTAGCCTGACAGTTCACCTTTCAGTATGACTCGCTGTAGTCTCCCCTTTAATCAGTTCCTTATCCACCTCAATTTCCAGATTGATCCCCATCTTTCCCAATTTAACCAATATTTCCCCATGTGGTACTGTATCAAATGCCTTACTGAAATCAAGGTAGATTAGATCCACTGCATTTCTTTTATCTAAAAAGTCTGTTACTTTCTCAAAGAAGGAGATCAGGTTGGTTTAGCACGATCTACCTTTTGTAAAACCATGTTGTAATTTGTCCCAGTTGCCATTAACCTCAATGTCACATTTCTAAAATATAGTAGAAAAGAAAATTGCCCATGCTTCATTCAGTCGTGGAAGCTTAAGAGTCTCCCTCCCTGTCAAGCCACAGTGCACATTTTATAAGCATTGTTTGTGTTCAACCAGGACTTTCACAAGACTCTGTTGAGTGCCACAAGCAGAAAAATAGCTTCCTGAGATTCTTCCCCCTTGTGTCATCGGCACTGAGGTATGTTTTCTAGCTTTTCCTCTGCGACCCTGCGGGGAAGCACTGTGGGGAAAAGAAACCCAGCGACCGCTGTAATTCCCTGAATCCAGAAGTTAGGACTTCAAACACCTGCCTCCCCCCCATTGCCAATACAAATCACAAGAGCGGGCAACACTGCCAGGGCACTTTCCAGAGCTGCCCCAGGACGTGCTGGCGGTTGCCCGGACCCCTTCATGCAGCGCAGCACCAAAGCCGCTGCCCGACCGAGGCTCGCAGCCAACCTCCCTACCCACTGCGCCGGGGGGGACACACTGTGGGGCACAGAGGGCCCGGACACGGTGGGGCAAACACCGCACCTCGGAGGCGACTTCCTTTTAAATCACCTCGGCTCACCCGCTGTCACGTGGCCGCCTAGCTCCTCCAATCAGCGGCCCGAGAGCGCTCGTGGCGTCAATTCAAACAGTTGGAGACGGTTAGTGTCAGCTGCCGGGTGATTTTCTTGGGCCCGTGTGTGGGGCTGCGATGAGCAGCATGGAGAGCCGGATGGTGACACCGGGGCCCTACCGCGCCACCAAGCTGGTGAGGGGCTGCGGGTCAGCACACAGGCGGGGACTCTGCCGGGCGCGGTTCAGAGTTTGCGTGGGGGACTGGAGCCCCTACGGAGCTAGGGGGTGGGGGAAAGCAGCAAAGAGCGATGGAAGCGGGTCCCGAGGCCGGCCTGGCAGAGGCTGACTAGTAGAGGGATGGGAGGGGCCCAGGGCTCTGGCTGGCAGAGGGAAGGAAGGGGACCCGGGGTCTAAATGCGCTCGATTTTTTTGCTTTGGTTTTTTTCCATCTCCACCCCTCCCCTCCTGCAGTGGCATGAAGATGCCATTGAAGAAGCACAGGCAACACTTCAGAAAACACGGGAATTGTTTCAGTGCCATGGAAGCTGTGGACTGGCTTCACGAAATGCTACAGAATAACAGCAATTTTGGTCCAGAAGTTACTAGGCAGCAAACGGTTCAATTACTAAGAAAGTTTCTCAAGAATCATGTAATTGAGGATATAAAAGGAAGATGGGGATCAGAAAATCTAGATGACAACAACAACCTATTCAAAAACACGGGAATTGTTTCAGTGCCATGGAAGCTGTGGACTGGCTTCACGAAATGCTACAGAATAACAGCAATTTTGGTCCAGAAGTTACTAGGCAGCAAACGGTTCAATTACTAAGAAAGTTTCTCAAGAATCATGTAATTGAGGATATAAAAGGAAGATGGGGATCAGAAAATCTAGATGACAACAACAACCTATTCAGGTGCTGTACAGGTGTCCACAGCTTGACAGTTTGGGAAAACTAACCAAGAGTTCTCTGTCACCGTGTCATTGGTAACTTTCTGTGGGGAAAATCATTTTCAGTAAAAAGCTCTACTGACTGATCAGAAAGTCTGCTTTTCTGCTAACTATTCATTAATAATGCTGTAAAGCGCAACAGACTTGGCTGCCGTGCAAAGATGGTTAGTGTACAAAATTTGAATTCCAACACTGTGCTATCTGTCTCCATTCCACACCATTCGTACAAAATTTGAATTCCAACCCTGTGCTATCTGTCTCCATTCCACACCATTGCCTTTTACAGTATATAGAAGCTATAGTCAGAGCAGAATCTACTCTAAGGACTTAGCAGAAGGAAATTCAACTTTAATTGACCTCTTGTATGTGAAAGTTGAGTGTTCTTGACCATGAATTTGAGAGAAAGGAATGATAGTTCAAAGCTAATTAGGAATTTTGCCTAACTTAAATTATGTTGTAGATGTGTTCTGTATTTTCTTTTTATCTTAATTAAGCCTCTAAAGAGTCTTATGGAGTCATCGCTGGGCATTAATTTTTTTTGATGAAACTAAGTTTTTATTTTTGCAATATGTTCTAAATGCATTTACATTTTTCTTATTAATTATAGATTCCCTTCAACCTCTCCAGTTAAAACTTTACCAACGAGATCTCTATTGAAAGAGAACACAGAAAATGTTCCAAAAGAGAAAGAAAGTCTCTTTAAATTACCACATTTCTCCAGGAAGACTCCTAAAAAACATGAATTACTTGATACTCTGGTAATAATTTGACTTCTTATCAATCAAATGTTTTCAGGATAAGGAAAACAAAAATAATCACTAGTGGCTGCATCATCTGCTTCTGTAGACTCTTCATCTGAAAAAATAAGCTAGCAACTTCCTCTGGAGTACTCCTCAGTGAAGTGCAACATTAAACCTCTTTGCTATATGTGGCTGCTTAACGCTTGGGGTGCAACCTATGGATCTTAAGAAACTTGAACCTTAGAAGTTCAAAATACTGTTTGTATGAAAATAATCTTACCTTTACATTTTTATGTGGACTTGCTGAAATGTGACAAATTGAAAACAGTGAAATTTAAGTGTTTGAGGATTTGTACTGTATGCAATAGATTTCAGTTTGTACAGTAGTTCAGTCTATATACAAGCTCTTATTGTCTCCACAACTTTAGATTAACAATATACTGGAATTGACTTATATTTTGTTCTCATTTAGTCATGTAATAACAGAACTAAAAATGCTTCCCCCTCAATGTTTCATATCTATAAATATTATTTTTTGTCAGATTAAGATTCCTTGTAAAGCCTTAAACTTTATACATTTTAGGAACACCTTAGAATATACTTTTTTCGGTAGTTCTGGCTTTCTGAATTTAGACCCAAGTCCTAACCTTACAAGCACTTATACTTGCCTTTCAATATTTACGTCCTTAATCTCCTACTTCATTCTGCATTTCATAATCTTTTATTTTAAATTTGCAAACTTAAGGAGGTATGACTTTTTTTTCCCCCTATGGTGGATAGCAAGTATTAGCTTTTAATGGAAACGAGCTTTA